TCGACTCATTCAATTGTTATAAGGAGCCTATAAGTAAATATTATCTTCCCCATCTTGCAGATGAGAAACCCCCAAATATTAAATAACCTGCCCATGGTGCTTACACAGTTTAGAAGGAGCAAGGCCAGGATTCAAACACTCCTTGTCTGACTCCACTGCTCAGGCTCTTTCCCCACCCTGCCTTCTGCTACTGACCCTTTCCTGTTGCAAGAAGCTTATCTAGAGCTCAGAGTTTCTCAAACTTGAGTAAAGAGAAGCCATTCTCGAGGACTCCCTAGGATATACCAGCAAACCCTCATTTGAGAAAACATGAATTTAAGAAACTAAGGTTCAATGCTGTGAAAATATCTTTTGGTTGTAAAACATCAATGTCAAAAGAGAAGCTTTGTCTTTATTACTGCTAAAGGTTTTCGTTCATCAAATATCATTGCTGAAGTGAAAACATATCATGGACATATCAGGGTCCTGGGGAGAGATCAGTATTTCCTGTGCTGGGGTCTTTCCCTAAGAACCCTGCTCAACTCCAGGTTCTGGCCTCTCCAGAACACCCTTCTAGAGAAAGCACTCCTTTGCTTTTGCAGATATTTAGATTGTAATAGGGAATTTTTGAAGTTAGGACTTAATACCTAAAGGTATAAATTTTATCTACAGAGATAAGCAGTAGGAAAATATTTTTAAGAAAGAATATCTTCTAGAATAATATCTTCCCTACTTCTGAGATAAACCAGCGACTAGACTGACAAAAACACTGAGAGGCAGAACCCTAGACTCAGTTTCAGAATCAAAAGAACCATAGTTGTCTGACCCCCTACCCAAAGGGTGAATCCCCTCATCAGCACTCTCCCCACTGCCCACACAAGCTCCTCCTTGAACTCTTCCAGTGCTCACTCACAAAGCTCTCCCTTCCATGATTAAAAAAAATCTCTAGCCTCCTTCAGAAATCAATAACCATCGAGTTGAATCCAACTCATGGCAACCCTATGTGTATCAGAGTAGAACTATGCTTGATAGGGTTTTCAATGGCTGTAATCTTATGGAAGTAGATTGCTAGATCTTTCTTCCAATGCACCTCTGGATGGATCTGAGCCTCCAACCTTTTGATTAGCAGCCAAGTGTGTTAACCATTTGCACCATCCAGGGACCCCTCCTTCAGAAAGTGCATCTTTATCTCAAGGCAGGGACTGCTTTTCTTTAACTTCAACCCATTCTTTCTAGCTTTGCCCCAGGAGCTGCATTGAACAAGTCTAGTTTTGTTTCTTCTTGATGGTCCATCAAATGTTTGGAGTCAGATGTCATGCCCCCCGCCTTCACTCTCAACTCTTCCTAACCTGGGCAGCCATCTGCAGTCCTTCAGTACCTCCTCGGGGACCTTGGTTCTGGGGCCCTCACCTTCAGGAAAAGATGGTTGGAGATGGACCTGTTGCTTTTTTCTAAGTGTGGAGGTCCCACACTTTCACACTTAGCACCATGCAGTAGAGGGCAGGGTGCTCACCAGAACCTGTCATGCCTTTGTGAATTCAGTCTCATATCCCATGGGTCTTTTTGTCATCCTAGCTTTTGGGCAGCTGGAATTCCAAGCCCTTCCAAAAGTATAGCTGGGAAGCCATGTTTCCCTGATTCAATTCTTACAATGCTAAATAGATTTCAGTGACCCTGTACTAGATCTAGATACTGAACTTTCTCTCAGGCTCTGAGTCTGGGCTTCTGACTCTCAGTGTTTTTGTCAGTCTAGTCCCTGGCTTATCTCAGAAGTAGGGAAGGTATTATTCTGGAAGATATTCTCTCTTAAAAATATTTTCCTACTGCTTATCTCTGTAATAAAATTTCTCCTTTATAGATTCATACCTTTAGGTATTGAGTCCTAACTTCAATAATTCCCTATTAAAATTCACAGGTGAGAAAATGGAATCCTGGAGGAGTTAAATGACTCACTAGGGTAGCTGTGTGGTATGGGCAAAGTGCCGGACAAGGCCACCAGATTAGTTACCTATTGCTGCATAACAAATTACCTCAAAACTTAGCAGCTGCAAACATTTATTGTCTCATAGTTTCTCTGAGCATGGCTTAGGTAGCCATCTCTGGTCAGCAGGTCTCTCAGGAGGCTGCAGTCTCATCCGAAGGATCAACCAGTTGGGGCGGGGTGCTCTGTTTCCAAGCTCACTCATGTGGTTGTTGGCTGGCCTTGGTCCCTTGCCATGTGGCCTCTCCACAGGGCTGCTCGCAACACGGCAGTTTGCTTCCTCCAGAGCAAGGCTCAGAGACAGAGCACACAAGAGAGGGCTTCCAAGCAGAAATCACAGTCTCCTTATAACCTAATCTCGGAAGTGATATCCCCTAAATTCTGCTGTGTTCTATTTGTTAAGAGTGAGTCACTAAATCCAGCCCACCCTCAAGGGAGAGGGATTACGCAAGGTCATGAACACCAGGAGATGAGGTCATTGGGGGTCATCTTAGAGACTGTCCACCACACCCACGTCCCTCTTCTCTTAGTTTATGAACTAGGAACCTTGTGCTAGTTACTGAACTTTCTCTAGGTCTCAGTTTACTCATCTGGGAGATGAGAATAATGATAATGACACTAGCTGCTTCAGAGTATTGTTATAGTAAATGGAATAACATGTAGGTGATGTCCCTGGTCTGTTGGGGTGGTCCAATAAATGCCATTCCTCCCCCCACCCCAGTCCCTTACACAAGGTTAGTTAATGACAAAGCTGGGACAGGGTCCCCAGCCTTTTTCACTCTGTTATCTAGGGTGCCTCCAAGTCTTTTTCAAGGTGATCAGGAGGTCCCCAAAATCTCAGGATGGAAATTAGAACAGATCCTGTATGTGGTAACACATGAGCAGTAAGAGCAGTACTGGAAAATGGCACTTTCAAGGTTTAGGGCCTTGAATGCATGTTTTAACGCATATTCTTACTAAATTTAGTCTTTGATTCAGTTTATCTCAGGCTTGTCCAGCTCTTTTTTGAGGTTGATGTGATCATCTGAATTATTAGTTATCAGCTTTGTGTCATTCATGAATTTGATAAATTTGCCTTCCGTGTCCTTAGCCAAGTCTTTGGTAAACTTTGACAAGGACAGAAGCACACGCATGCCACTTGGGACTGCTCCGAGGTGGGCAAAGTGCCATCTTCCAAGGTGGGAGGGTGGTAGAGCCCCATGGATGTAATGGGGGCACATACGTGATCCTTAGTCTCCAGCATGTACTCTGTCAAAGGCACTTTCTTTTGCTCTAGGCCCACTCACCAAATATCAATTTGCTCATTTTACCTGTTTAAATATTTTAAAGTTTGCAGCAATTCTACTGGGGTAAAAAGAGGAGACTGTTTACTGGGGGAAGACCCACTGGCCCTCAGTTTACCCCCTCCCTGCCCCTTGGCTTTTCCCAGGTCTAAGGTGGTCAGGCCGGGCCTGCTGTCTATCTCCCACCAGTGAAGGAGTCCCCCTCTCTGCCTCAGACTTCATTAGCTGCAGTGGGAGGAAGCTGTGGCAGCAACAAAGCAAATGATCCTTAAAATGCCGCTATGCAGGAAAACCCATCCGCTAAAGCTTGAAATGCTGTTAAAGTCATATCGTCGAAAAGGAATTGCTGTATTAAAGAGTTAGAAGAAACAAGTACCCTCAGCCAAACGTCCTTCAGCTAATTGGCTTCGGGGTGTTGCCCTGCTTCCACTTTTTGCAACCAGACCATCTGAGTCCCGGCACTGGGGGCTGCTGATCCCCAGAAAGAAGTGCTCTGCGTCTTCGTCTGGTCTGCAGTGGGGCTGTGGGCTCAGACTGCCTCTGCCTGCAAGGGGATCTGAGGAGGCTCTGCAGGGGGCGGGGTGGGGTGGGGAGATGGGGGAGGGGAGAGAATGAGGTTCTCTCCACCAGAAAGCACCTCTTTGCCCTACTCCCAGCCCTAAACCTCGGGGAACTTCTCCTCCAGGTCTACTCCCTTAAAATATGTTCTCACTGGGTCCCCCTCAAACGTCCTCCCAGCAGGGGACCGGGACAGCTCTGTGGAGCAGCTCAGCTGTACTGGGCTTTTAGGAAAAGCTGGGACCTACATATCCCCAGCCCATCCCCCACCAATAACCCTTCTTCCTCAGTGAATCATGAGAATCATCACAACCAAATTAACCCGACAGAAGCCCTGGGTCAGGGAGGAAGGGCAAGTTAAAAAAAAAAAATTGGCACAAAGTTGTTTTTGTTTTTTTAATATCTGTTTGAAAGCCTGGCTTATATTGCTGAGTTTCAAATATAGGTGAGCCCTGAAGACCAACCTGGTGAAGCTGCGGAATCAGCCGAGTTGGTTCTAGGCTCCAGTCTCTCAGGCTTCTAGTTCTGTGTCACCTTTTCTTCCCTTCCAGAAAGTCAGGCTCTCGGAGCACTTGTGTTGTTCTGGCCCTTCTTAGGGAGAAAAGAGACAAATGAATTCATACTACAGTGTTAATAACTAGATGTCCCCTGCCCCCGAATATTTCCTTTTTAAAAGAGAGCCAAAGGTATGGACAACGCTTAACCCAAAGAATTCATTACTCAACTCATGGTGGAATTTCAGACACGAGGGGTGGTGGATCTTGATTGTTTAGAGAAACAAGGGTCCCAGCAACACTATTCTCTGCCCACGAAGGAGGCAGAGAAAATTGTTACATTCTTTGTGTAATAAGAATGTTCCTGAAAAGCAATGCATAAATAATATTCTTATAAACCCAATCCTTGAAAGACACTGACTAGATTTGCCCAAGGATGTATACTCTCTTCAGGAAGTAAATACTGGTGATAGTTAATAGTTTTTGACTGCTTACAACATTCCAGGCTCTGTTTTAAACACTGATCACTACTTTACTCCTCATACCAACCCAATAAGGTAGGTACTTTCAGTGTCCCCATTTAACAAGTGAAGAAACTGAGGCACAGAGGGGTCAAGTAACTCTTAAGTCACACAAATCAAGACTTACAAGCCCCAGGCTCCTCTAAAACCTTGACATGCGGTGACCACCTCCCTCTCTCTGTAGGGGCCTTGAAGTTTTGTACCCAGAGCTGGGGAACATTGGCTGCATGTATGTTCCTGACTGCAGCAACTACAGACAGAAGATCACCCACTGGCCCGAGCCCATAGTCAAGTTCCATGGGGCCTTAGAGGTGAGTGAGCAGGGCCCAGCCTGAAGCAGGTGGGCTGTAGGATCTTGGTTTCCCTTGGAGCTTGCTCATCTGGGTGACTTGAAGCTGAATGCAGAGCCATTGGCTGGAGCACAGCCATGTGCCTTCCCAAAGGCGGCTCCATTGCCTTGGGGAGGAGGCTGGGTGTTGGGGGAGTAGGGAGGAAGGGTTGCAAGCTAGGATCTTTGTCGATGCTCAGGGGCCACTCAGCTCAGGCTTCTCCTGCAGCCCCCTCTTTGCTGAGCCTGGCTCCGCAGTGTCATCGTGAAGACCTGGCTGGTGTGTGCTTGGGAATCAGCCTAGAAAAGGAGAAGGGGCAGTGGAGGAGCCCTTTATCCAGGTGCCAGGTGGCTGGGCATTCAGAATGAGCTTCTTGTTTAGGCTAAATAAGCAGAGGTCAGGTGTCTCGTGACCTTGGGTTATTACCTGAGGTTTTCTAAAGCAGATTAAGGCATATTAGGGATTGGAAATAAGCCTTTCTGATACTGGAAAATGATTATTACCATGTTGTTCTAGAAGCTTCCTTTGGCTTGGGGGAGAGGGGATGGTCATTGACAATTACTTTCAGAACTAGAACGCCTGGGGAAGGGCAGTGGGGGGTGGGAAGTGGAGCCACTGCTGCTGCCTCCGGTTGCTGGGCCGTGTTTTGAGGGGAGCTGCTCCAGCCTCCTGGTTGTCATTTCTTTCTTCCTTGACTTCTAGAGCCAGGCTGAGCCCCTAAAGTGTTAGGGGGGCAGGTGACTCCTTGCTTTCTGCTGTTTTTTAGTAGGAGGTGCCAGTGTCAACCTAGGCACAAGGACTTTGATGTGACCAGGACTCAGGTCATGAATGAGTGGGGCAGGCCGTCATGGTCAGGATGTGAACAAGCCTATGTGCTGAGGACAACCTTCCGGGCCCCTCTGGGCAGTGGGGCAGGGAGAGGCTACAGTGGATTCTTCCTCCTGGTCCAGTCTCAGGCCCCTGCCCCTCCTGAGGGCCCATGACTAGATCCTACCTGCCCTCGGTGCTGTCCCCTTATACCCCATCAGGCCTGACAGCAGTCAGCATAGACATAGCAGGATATCAGAATAAGATGTTCTAGTGAGGAGGTCGTGGCACAAATTACTTGGAAGTGGAGGGACAGATTTTCCTTTCTTTCTTGAACTTGTTTTCACTATCAGAGAACAAGTAGATTGTGATATGTCTCAGAATTTTTGAGGCTGATTTCATGATGTTTTGATGGTTTATCACATATGCAACAGTGACAAACCTCTTTTTCTCTGGAAAGCCCAGCAAGAGAGCAATGAGGTCCTTCTAGGTCTCCTCTCTTTCCCTGCCCCAGCGCTCACACATAAACACACATACACATACACACACATACACACATACTCATTCACACATCCAGACACTCACAATTACACACACACACTCACATATATACACACACTTACACATATTCACATGTCAGCCCTTCTCCCTGGAGACCCTTGGGCTGGTCACGCCTGCGGACAGCTAAGAGAAGCAGAAGAAAGGGAAGCTGCTAGGATTACTGCTATGGAAGGTGGAGGGCCACAGAAGCAGGGCAGGAACCCAGTCCCTTAGGTGAAGGGCATATGCTGCCCCCGTGGTACAGGACTCTATACTTGACCATTAAGTCACTTGTCCTCTGTTACTTCATCTGTAGAATGAGGAGGTCGGACCAGATGCTTCCACAGTCCAAGGATTCTCCCTTCTCAGCAAAGGGCTCCACTACGCTTGCTGATATTGTGGCAGATGTCCACTAGATGGCAGTGTAGACTTTTCGGAGTACCTGGTGTCCTTTTGACCACACCACAGAGGGATTTGAAGCGAGCTCAGAAAGTTTTTGGGTTTGATTCTGTTTAGTTGATACTGATGGTCCTGGGGTATGGGGACATACACAGAGAAGATATCCGCCCCACCATGTCCTGAAATCTATTTTTAACAAACCCAGTTTCTCTCAGCCCACGGGTGGGTGAAAAAGAAAAGGGACCTGAAATGTGGAGACTTAGGAAGGACACAGAGCTGTGGTTATAAAAGCGAAGGGGGACAGAGATTTCACAAAGAAATGGTAGTAGAAAGAAAGAAAGAAAAAGTAGTATTCTACTGCAACAGAACCATAGTTTATGGAAGTTCAACTGACCTTTCGGAGGGCAGATTCAGTTAATTTTTTGTCGTTGTTTTGTTTTTGTCTGTCTTTGTTGATGTTGTAAAAATATATGTATAACGTAACATTTGCCATTTCAACATTTTTCAGGTATACAATTTAGTGATATCAGTTAGAGTTATGAAAAGCTACCATTTATAGAGTGCCATTTTATTTTGGCTACTGTTCACGTGTCATGTTATTTAATTTTATCGTCAGGTCTGAAAGTTAAGTATTTCATTAATTGGGACTCTTAGTGGCAAGTGACGAAAAGAAAACTCAAACTAGCTTAAGCCAAAGAAAAAGGCAGTGGGAGATTCATTGGTTCACAAAACTGAAAAGCCAGAGACAGCTTCAGGGATGACTGGATCCAGGTGCTCAAACAATGTCACCAGGAATCTGCCTCTATCTCTTGACTCTGCTTTTTTCTGTGTTGGCTTTATTTGTAAATACAGTAATCTCTTGTCCTTATGGTGGTAAAGATGGCCCGCATCAGCTTTGGGCTTCTGATTTACCAGTTTATCAAACCCGGTGGAAATAGCTTGACTCTTTCCAACCGTTAAAAGTCCAAGTATTCGATCTTCTTGGGTCACATGCCCATCCCTGAACCAAACAGTGACCCCGATTGGCCAAGCCTGGGCAACCCCACTTAATCTATACAGACTGAGAGCAGAAGAGGAGGGTTCTTCCAAAGTAGACTCAGAAGAAGGGGGAAAGGATGTTGGGTGGTAAAACGAGAAGTTCCTATACAGTAAGTTATTTGACCAAGTGCATAGCTAGTAAGTGGCAGAGTCAGTGTTCAAACCCAGGTCTTCCCAAGCCTTGACCACTAGACCACTGGCCAGGGCTCTAAAGAGAGACGTCACGTCAGTGGGTGTGGGCATAGTCGGGGAGGGCTTGACAAACGGAAGCTTTCGATAGCTAGAATGAGAGGAGAGGGCAGAGATGACAGTAGTTGCTAACGAAGGTGGTGGAAAGAAGGTGGAGACAGTGAGCAGTCAGGCCAGAGACAATGAGAAATGGAATGGTGGCTGGAGCTTCCCTTATGGAGTTAAGGAAAGAGACACCTGGAGAGAGAGAGACAGAGATTAGTAAAGCTGGAGAGGAAGCAGATAATATCTGGGACAGGGTACTTTGAAAATAGGCATGGAGGGAGGCTAAGTAGTTAGTGACAGAGAAGAAGATGAAGGCATTTCCTCTGGGCCTGGGGCCTGATGGAATAGGGCAAGAGGTTGGTGACTGGCTATATGGGGATAGTGCCTTGCATCAAAGGTGATTAAAGCAATGCCTCAAAAGCAAGACTGCTGGTGGGCATGTCCAGGGAGTCCCCCAAGCCTTGAGACCCTGGAAGGTGGTGTGCAGCAGGCATGGATCCCCTGCAAGGCTGGACTGGGACCAGTAGGACTCTGGCTGCCTCAGGCTGTCCGGCACCACCATGTACCACCGGAGGGCTTCTGGCTCCACACCTTTGCTCAGGCCACCTTTCCATATGTGGACCCTACACTCTAGGACACTCTGCCCACATCAAAATCCTTCCTCCTCCAGGAAACCTTCCCTGACTACTCCCCTCTAAGCCCTGCCCCTACCCTTGATTGGTCTCTTCTTTCTCTGAGCTTTTTAATGCCCCCTTTACCTTCCAAATCCAGTGTTTACTTCATTCTGTTTTGTATTGTAGTTGCTTGTTCATCTCTCTCATAGCTTCAAATTATAAGCTTTTGGAAAGCAAGACTATGTGTTGCATTCCTTTGAATCAGTCATAGCCCCTGCCATCATTGCAGACCCATGATGGCTAACTGGGTGACTGGGTGAGTGAGTGAGTGAGTGAATGATGAATGGCAAATGGAAGGACACCTCCTGGAGTCTGAGTGATGCACTGTTTAAACCCAACTGTTTGCCTTTTAAGCTGCTGGGTGCCCTGGGACATTTGATGGAAAGCTGCTGAGCCTTGTGGACACCCTAGACAGCAGCACCCTCTCCTCCACCCAGGGTGGATGTGAGCTGGAAGGTGGGGAGGGGAGCAGAGAGAGAAAGAAAGAAAACCAGGTGAGCTCACAAGAAGGCAAGGGAGTGTAGGAAAATAAGGACGGTCCCTGTGCTAACCATGGCTGAGAGCTGAGAGAGGTATTGAAGTAAGAGGAAACTTTTCTACCCTGGCACTTTGACAAACATTAAGAGGCAAACATTTTAAAATGCATCCCATTCTCAAGCCAATTAAAACGCGAAAGGCCCCTGAGAAGCTTCTTGACTGGGGCTTATTCTTCACCTAAAATTTAACCAGCTAGAATACTTTTGAAGCGAAGAAATTGCCATTAAGTGGGGAATGTGCCTTGCGTTAGAGGATGGAGCAAAAGGCTGGTGCTCCCTCCCACCAGCCCACCCACACTCCCAGGGTTCCAGTCAGGTGATGTGCCCCACCCCCAAGTAGGTGACCCTGGACACTGTCCCCATGTCACCTCCACCTGGCTCCACCTACAGCAGCATCGTCTGTATGGCTACCTACTGAGTGGCCACTTCCTTGCCCTTGTGAGCCTATGGGAAGCCACAAGTGCCAACACAAACTTTATCGAGGTTAGAAATCTGGAGACCTGATCATTCAGTAAAGAATCACAGACTCTCCCATCCGAGAGCCCTGAGCTCACCAGCCCACCGCCCCCCACTTCTCTTTACACATAAAACAGAAAAATGGGGCCTGCTGCAGCCACAGAACAGCTAGCCAAGGCAGGATGTGGGGCTTCCAGCTCTCACGAGAATTCTGGATGGAGCGTACTCTGAGAGGTGAGAAGAGTTGTTTGGGAAAAGATGGGCCAAGACAGGCCTTAGAGGCAGAGGCAGATGAGTG